GGGGCCTAGACGTGCTTGAGGGTTGGTACCGCGGTCCTGGGGTGGCACTTGGCCGGGGAACCCACTTGCAAAATTTTGGGCCGGAGCTTGCTTGGGTGCCGAATTGAAATACCCGGACCCACACACATACACACACACACACACATACACACATCTAAACACACACACACACCGTGGTCGCAACAATGTGTGTTTTTGCATATTATGCAAAAACGTATAAAAACTACATGCGGCACATATGGAGCTTTGACCTAAACCATTCTTGATCATAAATAAAATATCGTGAAAGCCCAGCTTTCGCAACACATACTCCCGAAGTTTCAGCTTTCTAGCTTGTCTGGTTCTCGAATTGAAAGTGGGTGACAAAAAGTATGGACACACAGACACACGCACACAGACAGCCACTTGCCAACATGCGTTTTTATGCCTTTTTGCATATATGTTAATTGCAACCCAGGCTGGAATGCACCAGGCTCTCCGGTGCGATCATGCGTTTTTGCACTAAACTCGGAGATCGCTATTAGCAGGAATGATCCCTGCGCTGCAGCCTAACACTTGGGCTAATATTGGCCATGTTTTGATCCTTACCGGCATGCAGAAGGAAGGGCATCAGTTGGGATGAAGGTGGCGCATTATAGAGCCGCACGGATATCCAGGTGCATGATTACTGGTTTTTTGTTTGAAGTCCTGTCGTTTTTTCGGTAAATGCTCGCTTGTAAAAAAATGATAAATGCAAATTTTTCGAAAAAATGCAAATTTCCAGTCCACTAAAAAGTGGAATTACTGCTCGAGCGGTAGTTTGTCAAAAAATGCAACTCCATCAAATTTCCCTGCCTTTTTGAAATGCAAATTTCCAGGTTACTAAAAAGTAAAAGTATTGTCCGAGCGGTCGTTTCCAAAAAAACCGCATTTACATATTACGATTGCGGTTAAGGTCCGAGCTGCGAACGAATTTTTGAAAATATGCAAATTTTCAGTTCATTATAAAATTGAAAGTATTGCTCGAACAGTCGTTTTTCAAAAAATCCATGTTCATTTGCATGTACAATTGCGGTTCAGATCCGAGTTGCTAACGATTTTTGGGTTCAGGTGCTGCTTGAGGTTGTGGTTGAGGAGCTTGAGGCTGTGGTTGAGGAGCTAGAGGGCTGAGTTTAAAATTTTTATCTCGCGCCTTCATAGAGAATATCCCTGCAAAGTTTTAGCTTTCTACGTTGCCTGGTTCGCGAAATCGTTTCCCGCCAACATGTGTTCTTTGGGGATCCCGTACGCGGGGTTTGGGTGCGTATGGGGAAAGATCTTAAAACGGGAGGATGACACATGGAGTAGGAACACATATCCGAAGTTTCATCCTCCCAGCTTTCCTGGTTGCTGAGATGAAAATGGGTGACAAAACGCACTCGCCTTCCACACACACACACACACACACACACATACACACACACATACACACACAGACAGCCTCTCGGCAATATGCGTTTTTGCTGGCTGTAGCAGCTAGCAAAAACTCTATAATGTTGCACAGCAAAAACGCATAAAAACGCATATTAGGAAGAGGCTGTCTGTGAGTGTGTGTGCGTGTGTGTGTGTATGTGTCTGTGTGTCCGCAGTTTTCGTCACCCACTTTCAGCTCGAGAACCTGAAAAGCTAGAAGGCTGAAACTTTGGGGATATGTGCCTATAGCATGCGCGACCCTCCCGTTTAATTTCATCCCCTATGGGCGCCTGAGTGCTGCGTGCGGACGCTTAAAAAAATATGCAAATTTTTTGGCGGGAAAGCGATCTCGGGGACCATATGAGCTAAGGGGCTGAAACTTTGTAGGGGTATTCCCTGTGCACGCACTAGCTAAAGATTTCAAATTCAGCTCCCAGGTATGCGTAGTATTCACTTAGGGGCGTATGGAAGTTTTAGAGGGGAAATTGCTAACTCGGATACCAGGAAAGCTAGAAAACTGAAATTTTGGAATAATATTCCGTGTACAAGTACAAATTAAATATTTCAAGTTCAGCCTTGAGATAAGCATGGTTCTTATATACGGGCATTTAAAAGTCTTGACGGAAAAATTTCTCACTGAACAACTAGGTTATTTTTAAAGAACGACTGTTAAATGGAAATTGTACATTAACTTTGTAAAATTTATGGTGATTTACACTAGTGACCGCAAAAGATCGGTATAATTCATACAGTTAGTGACCCGAATAATTCAGGTCTGGTGCAAAAACACATGATCGCACGGACCCGCCCGGTGCGTTCCAGCCTGGGTTGCATTTGCATATACGCAAAAACGCATAAAAGCAGGGAAACTTTATCACCCACTTTCAACTCGCCATTTCAGCTGTTTATCGTATCTGATTCTCGAATTCACTTTCCCGCTAAGAAATTTGCTTATTTTTTGAGGCATCCATACGTGGACCCAGGCGTACGCGAATGATAATATAATTGTTAACAGTGCGCACCAGGCGGGCCCGTGCGATCGCGCTATTTTGCAGTATTTCGTGCTGTAGTAATATCGTTTGAAATCCCACAACTTTCCAGTTTTTTTGTTTCCTGAGTTGATGGTTTTTCTACCAAAAACTTTCACAGCGCCGTACTCGAGACTCAAACGTGCATGAGGGTTGGCACCGCGGTCCTGAAGTGGGCACTTGGCTGCGAAACCCGCTGGCAGAATTTTGGCATAGAAGCTTGCTTGGTTGCCGAGTTCAGATACCTGTGCACACACACCGGGGTCGTCACAATATGCGTTTTTGCACTTGTATAATATATATACAAAAGCGCATAAAAAGCGGAGGGCCTCACAGGTTATAAGCAAATAGTCCCAAAATTTCAACTTTCTAGCTTTCCTGGTTCTCATGTTGAAAGTGGATGACAAAAAGTGCGAACACACAGACAAACATACCTATACAAACACACGCACACAGGCAGCCTTTGCCAGTATGCGTTTTCGCCTACTGCAGCAGTGCAACAAAACCACATAAAAACCGTTGCCTCACCGTAGAGTACTATGACGTGAGTTTTAACAGTCTGTGTGCAACAGGTATGCTGTCTGCACCATTAGATTTGCTACAACGAATTGTGTCTAAACATATATCACACTGATTAACATTTATTCATTTCAAATCACTTTACTTTGTCAATGACTCAATCCTCAACTCAAAACTTAAAGGCTATCTAGCAGAATCCAGCAAAATGTCCATCCACGTAAGTAGTGGCAGATTTATTGCCTTAACACTGTTACTCGGCTATCAGTAGTCTCTTCGGGCCTTGCAGCCCACTGCTTTACTGTAATGGTCTGGGAATGCGTTACTGAAACCTTTAATGCCGAAGAATAACCAAGGCTTTAAAAATCTGGCCACCACCCATTACTTAGCATGCAAAAAACGAAATTTTGATACAGATGTATTTCATAAGATTTTAATATTTTGTTTCGCTCACTAAATTTAACACCACTTCACCACGCTACAGAAGTGTCATCAAATGGCTTTGATGGCACTCAAATTCACATACCAGTAATTTCAATCGCATACTGCATTGGGGGAGGCACAATCATAGATGAAATTACACCTATGCGTATGTTTTTCACGAGATACGAGTTATAGTACATAATTCACCTCTATGTTCTTCCAAGTATACAATTTTGGATGCAATCAGCTCCGGCCCCAGCTTCGCCTCACATCGATGCACACTAACCCTGAGATGTCGCTGCCACATACTTTTTTCTAAGTTCCTTGCTTGAAAATTTACTGTTATAGAAAGAACCCATTTGGCGGCGAATATACAGTGTTTGCGGGTTTGGAGGACTGCCTTCATTATATCAAGAATTTTCAGTTCTCGAAATCGGGTTTGCCTTCTATTTTTGTTTTTGTTTTTCTTTGTAGCACTCTTGTATTTTTTCAACCGATCTTTTTTTAGATATTGTGTTCTTGCGCTCGGTATTACCAGGAATTACGAATCCAGCATTTTTCGAGTACCTCGAATCGCTTGACTGCAGCAGTGTGACTGTTCGGGCTGCTGCTGAGGGTAGTATAGTCTTCCCGAATGTTCCACTGATAACCGTCGAAGGTCCGCTAGCTGTTTGTCAGCTGCTAGAGACGGCATTGCTTACTCTGGTCAATTACTCGAGTCTCGTGACCACAAATGCATTACGATTTCGCAATGTAAGTTACTTCTTGTACCATCATGACCATTTTGAAATTTTATCAAAATGCCCATCCTGTTATGGACTGCTGTCATTGATTGAGTAACTGTGAATAATAACTGCTATGTTACACGCTTTCGCATCTTTAAGCAAATGCAACCCAGGCTGGAATCTACCTCGCTTGTCGGTGTGATCGCGTTTTTGTACCAGGCTTGAAGTAATCAGGTCGCTAAATGCCTGAATGGTTGTTGCTTCACGATTATCTTGTGCACTTCCGTATGCGGCGGCCAGGTGTGCGCGAGTGACGATATTAAAACGGTAGGGTTGCACATGGTGTAGGCACATACTGCTAAAGTTTCAGCGTCCTAGCTTTTTTGGTTCTCGAGTTGAAAGTGGGTGACAAAAATGCGAACACCCAGACGCACACATATACACATACAGTCTTTTGCCAATATGCGCTTCAGCATTTGCATATTTGCAAAAACACAGAAAAGCGCATATTGTCGAGAGGTTGTCGTATGTGTGTGTGTGTGTGTGTGTGTGTGTGTGTGTGTGTGCGTATGTGTGTGTGTGTGCATGTGTGCGTTTCTTTACGAGAATTTTATCACCCATGCACAGACAAGTAAACGTAAAATAAGCTTTGGCGCGTGTTCGTGTAGTGCATTTGAAAACGCCAAAATATTTTGCAACGGTAAGCGATTTTTCAATCAATCAAGCTAGGGAGCCGAAATTTTATAAGACATTCGCCGATGTGCTGCCGGAATATTTTAAATTCACCTTTAAAGCAAGCTTGATTCTCGCGTTTGGGCAAGTGAAAATTTGGTTTGGACATGTTGGCACCCAATTAACTCTGTTATCAGACTATGCAGAAAGTAGTATTTCTCTGAGGGTGTTTGCGGACCAGAAAGCGTAGAATGGGCTTCTATTTGGACGCTTGTCCTGCGAGATGCATCAAATGTTCAAATAGGAGCCCCGCAGACACATCCCGCTACAGGCGATCTTTCAACTGGCTGGAATCATGCAAAAACTCATGATCGCAGCGGTAAGTCGGTGTGTCACTGGTTGGATTTCTCTCAAGTTTATCGAATCAGATAAGTGCAACGAAGAATGACGCAGTTATGCAAAATTTCGACCAATTGAATTGTTCTTTGTATAAAAAGCTTAATAACTGGCTTTGGTGCAAAAGAATTTCATTTTTGCAGAGACTCACTTGCATTCTATGCGAAATTGAGTAGAGGTTTAATGTAGGGCATTTTAGGTTACTGGTAATAATGTGCAGCTTTTCGAATTTGGTTTGCGAAGAGCACAGGGGCCAAATGGTGGTCTTTCAGCGAGTAAATATTGCTTCTTAGGAGGTAAGTGTAAAAAAATTTAATGAAATCTGACAAGTAGCCGAATTACGAAGGTTATGGGTTTTTATGCGTTTTTGCAGTGCAGCGCTATAGCAGAACAAAATGCACTCACTTCCGAACACGCAAATACAGCCTCTCGACAATATGCGCTTTTGCTGGCACTAGCAGCGCTAAAGCACTACAGCGCTGCTACAGCCAGCAAAAGTGCATAGTGTCAAGAAGCTGTGTGTGTGTGTTCGGAAAGCGAGTGCATTTTGTCACCCACTTTTATCTCGGCAACCAGGAAAGCTGGGAGGCCGAAACTTTGGGTATATGTTCATACACCATGTGCCATTCTCCCGTTTCAAGGTCTCCCACACACGCCTAGACCCCGCGTACAGCCTCCCAAATTTCGTTGATAGGAAACGAATTCGCAAACCAAACAAGATGGGGGGCTGAAACTTTGCAGGGATATTCACTATGCACGTGCGAGCTGAAGATTTTAAACTCATCTGTCGAGCATGCTTGTGAAGCGCGTGCGATCACATCAAAATTTACGACTTGATGCTATGCTAACTCGAAAACTTGCCAGAAAACAGTGGTTAAAATTTTGTCAGGATGTTTGACTCCCATACAGGAAACAGTATACCTAAAATGAACACCGGTTTGCATTTGCGCCACGACCTAGGGCACTTCAAAGATATTTGTAGCGAATTGGATATTTCGCTTGCCGGACAAGTTGCGAGGCTGGAAATTCGCTGGGATATTCTAATTTCAAATGCGGCCTTAGTTCCATTTGGAGGTCGAATTCCCTCCAGATAGGCGTGAGAAATACTCAGCTTTATCGAAAAATCAGAGGCGAGTGCGTTTTGCAACGAACGATCGCCCTCATCCAAAAATGTAAATGAACAATAGTTCATTTGCATACTCGGATTTTTCCACAGACGACCGCTCGAGCAAAACTTCCACTTTTTAGTGAACTGAAAATTTGTATTTTTTTAAAAAATTTGCACTTTCAGTTTTTCAAAAAGCTAGCATGTGCCGAAAAAATGACCGAGATTCATGTAAAAAACCGGTAATTATGTACCTCGTGGCGCATGCGGCCCTATAGTGCAATACTTTCATCCCAACCGACGTCCTTTCCCCAGCATGTCGGAAGAGGTCAAAGCATAGTGTATCCAGAAATACAACAATAGCACATCGGAGGCTGATTCTGCTGCGCCAGATGCATGCAATAACTGTAGGCACCAGAAGTCGAAGAAAAGCTAGAAAAGCTGAAATTCTATGAGAACTTATGGCCGTCGCTGTCATACTGCAACCAAAGCAAGGATCCGCACGAGCAACGATACTCAATGTCCGAGAAAGACTTTCCATGGAATCCAACCCCCCTCCCGTCGCCCCCACCGCTGGCCGATCAAACATTTTGATACCAAAATATTTGCCTACACCGAAACCCGTGATCAGCTCCGGCCACGTGACTGACCTAAACCACAACACGCGATCGAAACGCTTAACCAACCGCTTACGTAGCCACCTCGCCCAGCCTAACAACCGGTAAAACCTGGCTCCGCCGACCAACACACACGAACATTTCCAGGCAACTAATAAAGCTCGGCTCGACTCGGTTCCACCTCGGCCAACCTCGGCTGCCTCGACTCCACCTCGGCCGGCCATGGCAGCAGCATGGTTTGCAAATTTAGCCGCAGACCGTGTAG